GAGGCTGTGGAAACAAGCCTAGGCAGCTTAGCTGCAAAATGAGGTGACTAGGAGAGATTTATCTTACTGCAAATACCAGGGCACACCTGCAGCTACATAAGAGCCAGTCACTTGGCCTTCCTCTCCAAGCTGACGTGCCCTATAAATGCCTTTACAGGGCTGAAAGCAGAGGTAGAAGGAATTGACTCATTTAACTCATTAAGCACATTAGCTGGGATGTGCAAGCCTTCAAGCTGATGCATCCTGGGACACCGTGGGTATGTGATAGATGATATCAGGTATGTGCAGTGTGATTCGAAATCAAGGGAAAAGGGGAAAATGCTCCAGTCCTGAGCAAAAGAGAAGAAAAGAACTGCTTGCCGAGAGGAAAACGCTGTGTGTGTCCGTGCTAACCGGCTTCCCTCACCTCCTTTTGCATTGCCACCGCAGTGCTAAAAGGAGTTTTTGTCTGGACATGGGTGTCTTACACTTCATCTGCCACCAATTAAAACCAATAACAACAATGGGAACAATCTGATTGCGTCGCCTTCTCGCATTTCTTCCTTTTGTAAGGCATGACCTCCTTGCAGCTGCAAATAGGTGAGCTGTCACCCCCAGAGTGAGAGCTGGGAAGGTCCCTGCCTCACTCCTGGGCAGAGGGGGCAGCCGCTCCTGCAAGTGCAGAAAACACAGATGGTCCAGGTTACTCCTAACAGAGACTAATGTGGGGTGACTAAGGAAGTGCCAAAAGTCTAATTTGCATGTGCAGACATCTTAAACCAACTCCAGCACACCATTCTGGGCTGTTCTGGCCCAAAACGAGCCTTGCTTCTCAGGACCCAAACTCCCAAATGGAAATCCTTACTCTTGGTGGGCTTGTCTTCTGTAGTGTGAGCTTTCTACAGCTGTAAAAATGTAACTGTGTAAATTATGCATATTGTACTTCTCATTTTGACTTAAAAATGTGTGCACAGACGTCCAGACACCATCATACACTCTCATGCTCTTTTTTTCATGCTGTTCTAACCCATTTTGCACAGGCAGAGCTTGCATATTTGCCCAGCAGAGAGCTGGATGGCCATTCGTGAGGGTGCTGGCAGCTGGGTGTCCTGCAATAGAGTTTAACAAACTGGGTACCTGCTGCTGCTTGGGGTTGTTAAAACTGAGTAACCACAAGTTTTTGAGGCTTTCTTTGGAGCACATAAGTAGGGTTTGCATGAAATACATGTTTTGTGCTGACTCTCACCATGGTGCTGTCATTCAGTTAGGATAAACCACACGACTCATGGGACATTGACTCAGCACTTAAAGGAAATAGCAATGAACAAGCTCTCTGCCCCCATCCTGGCTTTTGCTCTCCATTTTTCCCTAATCTGCCGACCTTCCCTTCACACTCACACCTATATTACACCAAACTCACCCCTTGGACTTCAGTGTAGCACATCTAGATTTGTGGCATTAATTTTAGGTGAATCAGGCTCCCTTTTAGGAGCAACTCATTAAAAAAAAATAAATAAATATTGAAATAGAGCAATGTAAATAAATCTCACAGTTGCTAAACCACCAAGTCAGAGGTGTTAAATTCATATCCATCAGCACTTGGGATCTGAGTCTCCCCTTACGGTTTATATATAGGACTATTGATGCCGAGGTAGGAAGAATTTAGGGTGTTACACAACACACCTTTAGCGACAACAGTGTTTTTTCTGCTCAAGTTAAAGACTAAATCATGTCCCTTGGGTCCTGTCTCAGCAGATGGGGTAAAGATACTGCCTGTGATGTTTCCAGTTTAAGGCTCACGTACTGGTTTAGAAGATGTGCAGATGACTGTACAGAAAGCACAGTCAAAACCCCTACCATCTCAGTGCAAACAGGACAGCCACAAACATGGAGCAAAGCGCTTGGTACTGAGAACACTTAAGTTCTGGCTCTTGCAAGGAGATTCAGTTTAGATCCAAGCTGTGCTCTGCTAGCTGCTTGGAAAAGCTTTAACTGGCCTCTGCCAGACTCCTGCAATGCAGTCCTGAATTCATCTCCTTTTCTCTTCTTTTCTTTTTTCTTTTCTTTTCTTTTCTTTTCTTTTCTTTTCTTTTCTTTTCTTTTCTTTTCTTTTCTTTTCTTTTCTTTTCTTTTCTTTTCTTTTCTTTTCTTTTCTTTTCTTTTCTTTTCTTTTCTTTTCTTTTCTTTTCTTTTCTTTTCTTTTCTTTTCTTTTCTTTTCTTTTCTTTTCTTTTCTTTTCTTTTCTTTTCTTTTCTTTTCTTTTCTTTTCTTTTCTTTTCTTTTCTTTTCTTTTCTTTTCTTTTCTTTTCTTTTCTTTTCTTTTCTTTTCTTTTCTTTTCTTTTCTTTTCTTTTCTTTTCTTTTCTTTTCTTTTCTTTTCTTTTCTTTTCTTTTCTTTTCTTTTCTTTTCTTTTCTTTTCTTTTCTTTTCTTTTCTTTTCTTTTCTTTTCTTTTCTTTTCTTTTCTTTTCTTTTCTTTTCTTTTCTTTTCTTTTCTTTTCTTTTCTTTTCTTTTCTTTTCTTTTCTTTTCTTTTCTTTTCTTTTCTTTTCTTTTCTTTTCTTTTCTTTTCTTTTCTTTTCTTTTCTTTTCTTTTCTTTTCTTTTCTTTTCTTTTCTTTTCTTTTCTTTTCTTTTCTTTTCTTTTCTTTTCTTCTCTTCTCTTCTCTTTTCTTTTCTTTTCTTTTCTTTTCTTTTCTTTTCTTTTCTTTTCTTTTCTTTTCTTTTCTTTTCTTTTCTTTTCTTTCTTCTTTTCCATTTCACAAGTGGCTGATCGATCGCCAAGATTTTGGAGGGAAAGGACAAGGCTGCTCCATCCTCCATGCGTGGATAATCTCATGACTGATAGGCTGACACTGTGGAGGGCCAGATGCTTTCTTCTGCCTTCCTACCTCCCTCTCTGCCCAGTGGGCAAGAAAAGGCTCACGTGATGATGTCACCAAACTCAAGGGCTGGAGAGACTTGCAATGAGCTCACCCACTTAGTCACTATACACTAAATATTAAACTTGGGCAAAAATCACCTTTTCAAGCCTTCCTCACACCAAGTCAGTGCCAGGCATACTGTCAGAAGCGAAGTACCAGCACTGTGTACAAATCTGAAAAAAAAGGGAATGGAAGAGGAGACAAATTTCTTTTTCTGTATGATGCAGAGCAAGTCCAGTGGCTGCTCCTGGGTTTCTCGTGGGTTTCAGTTAAAGAGTACTTTTTCTTTCTTTTCTTTACTTTTCTTTTTGCTTGTTTGGGGTTGTTTTTGTTATTAGATGGGGTCTGTTGCCTCACTCCCCAGCTGAGTAATCCTGAAGAGGAGGATCAAGAGCTCCTCAACCATCTGCTCCCTCCAAGGTCTGATCAACTGCATCCAGACCCTCTCTATCACACTTCTCTCACCTATTCTTAAAAGCATTGGGCAATGGGGTTTCCAGCACTCCATCTGTTCCTCTGCTTGGAGCAACCATGGGCCTGGAAAATGTTCTCCAGCTTCTGATCTGAATCTTCTGTGTTTCCATTCAAGCTGATTAATTTTTATCGCATCCTCAGTAGACATGATAAACAACTAATTACAATTCTCTTCAGAACAACCATTTTCATGGTGGCATCTTCCCACTTCCTTGTTTATTCTAAATCAGATCATCTCTTTTGGCTTTGCCTCTTAGGTCATGTTTTCTGAGCTTGTTATCCTTAATGTAGCATTTACATGGCTTTATCATTCCGAGGAATGGCGCCTTTCACTGGTCACCATGATCCATCAGAGCCTTGCCACTGGCTATTGCAGGAGAATGAGTCCTCTCTGCTCACCCACCATTTGCTTTCCATCCCCAAGTGATAAATTTTCTTGACATGAACTTCTTATATATCATATAAATCATTCTTAAATGATATATGGGCAGGACTTGAAAAAAAGTCCAATGTTGCCACTGATTGCTTTTGCTGGAATTTTTCTACTGTTTCTACCTGACTAGTTAAATATCCCTTCCCTGAAGGTCTGTCTTATCAGAAGGTCCAACACTTCTCCAGAGATAAGCCAGTAGAGCTTTGGGCTGCTCTCTGTTTCAGTTTACAGTAGCCTCACTGCAAAGGTCCCTTGCCAACCTTCTGTTCTTAGCTCAGTCTGTGACCCAATGGCACCCAATGCCACAGATGGAAGGCAGGATGGTGTGTTTGATCCATTGACTCAGGAGGCATCTAAGCACAGGTGTCTGCTGCTTTTTCTTGAAAAAACATCCCCCCAGCTTGTAAACTGCTGTGGGACCTGCATCTATGTAGCTTATTTCATCTAGGTCCTGGTACACAGGTGTCCACATCACAGAAACCTTCCTTCGTGGTGCTTACGTCGACTCCCTCAATAGAAAAGCCAAGGACTCAGTAGGGGTGAAAACTGAACTGGTTTTGTACACTCTTAAATCAGTCCTTCCATATGGTTCTAGGAACAGTAAAAGATAGACGTAGGGGTCCCAGCTGTGCTAAGGGCTCTACACCATATTCACAAAGAACAGTTCTCTACCCAAAGTGGCCAATCTGGCAGGTCTTTGCTGCTACCTTAACATTAGCTTTTAAAATAAGATAGAAAAAAAATAAATAAATTAAAAAAAAAAATAAAATTGCTGAAGAGCTTAGGACACAACCAGAGAATATAGTTGGTGGCCTTCAGAAACTCCTGATTCTACTAGACAGGATGCACAGGCCAGTGCTTTTCCATTAAGTCACAGCACAGTGGATGGGAAATAAAGTTAGTCTTGTAAACAAGAAACAGTGCAGATGATAAGTATCGGAAAAATGTTGTTAAAATGCAGGCTAATACTTACTCAGTAATTTTCTATTCTTTGCTTGATTTTCTTCAGCTAAAAGCTGTGATTTTCTTCTCATGAAGCCAAAAAAGTCAAGACAGTCTGACAGAGTGACAATGCATTTTTCTCTGTGAAGAATCTGGGTAAAGACTTAACAACTTGGTCCTTGCTTTATAGGATGATTCCTGTATCCCACTCCTCTGTTGATGCTTTTGACTTCACTCCACCCTCCCTTTCAGGTACGACAGCTTTGGCCGCCTGACCAACGTGACCTTCCCTACTGGCCAAGTGAGCAGCTTCCGCAGCGATACCGACAGCTCCGTGCACGTCCAGGTGGAAACCTCCAGCAAGGACGATGTTACAATAACAACCAATTTGTCAGCATCAGGAGCCTTCTACACCCTGCTCCAAGGTGAGTTGGGCCACTGTCCTTCTCCCAGCCAAGCTGCACACAATGGATTATCCATCAGGAAACAGGCATCGTCTTGATAATCCCAGCACCAAAAATCACCTGCATCCTCTGCGCCCCACAGCTCCCCACATGCTGGTACAGACGCACACTCACACCTACTTAACCACATTCCCCAGCACCATGGTTGCTCTGCAGCTGTTTTCTGCTTCATTCTCATCCAGTCCCCTTGCCGTGCAGTCCCCATGCAGTACACTCCTCCGTCATCATTACCATTATTGTTATAACAAAAAGGGTTGCATAAATCTAGCCATGCTTCCAGCTGACCCCTTTGCTTCATTCTTAATGGCTTCTAACTTAACAGTTACTCTCCTGGAACAGGCTTCCAGCTGGTTGCTGGAGATTTCTCTGATTCTTTGTTCACTGGCTGTTCATACGCTCACAAGGCAGCATCCAGAAAAATGACCATTGCTGTCCCCAAAAGGTCTGTGTTTGAGCTAAAGGGCTGGTGTGGTGCAGCACAAAGGAGGACAGAGAGGTGGACAGCGAGGGTAGGACCTGTGGGATTGGTGTGTGGCTGTTGGAAATGACCATAGTTCTGCTGGAGATGGTAAGGTGGGGAAGTAGAGGACTGATGAGGTGGAAAAAAAGGTGATGAAGTAGGAAAGAAAAGAGGAATAAATATCAGGGGAGCACTGTGCTGACATACTGGTAGGGGTGGAAGCTGTAGTGCACAAACCATGCCAACCTGGATCTCCAAGTTCTGAAAGCTGAAGCCTCCTTAAGTGAGGGTGACCCATCACTTTTGTTCCCTGGGGCTTGGGAGGAAGGAAAAGGACCATCAGACTGTGTTTTTTTCACAGCCCAGCTCTCATTCACTCATAGTCTCTGCCTGATGGGAATGGGGTGTCAAACATAATTTCCCCTTGTGAAGAACCAAGTGCTCCAAGTGAGACCAACATGTTCCAGATCACATTTGTTCCCACATCTCTGGGACACACATTTCCCTCCCCCTCCCTATAATAACAGCAAGCTTTCCTAAAACAAAGTGCCTGCTATGCCTGAACGCTGCTTTTTCTGCCTTTGGAGAGGGCGACCGAGAGGGTGCCAGCCCCTTCAAGCCGTCCTCACTATTCATGTAGGGGAACACAATGACTTTCTTACTCTACTTCAGCCTGCAAAGCAGAGCCAACCTACCCCGCCCCATCCCGTCCACTCGCATTAAGACGTCTGGCAACTGCACAGACACAAGGTTGGCTTCACCTCAAGAGCCTAATTAAGCAATAGAGCCCGCTGTTGGGGGCCCTTTAGTGAGATAATTGACCATGATGTGATTTATACACCCAGAGCTGAAGGCACAGTTACATAATGGTGCCACGGTCAATTATCTCATTGTACTGCCCTCCAGCACAGGGGCACTCTTGCCTTTAGGACATGCAGTATTACAAACAGCTCAACCATCTTCAGACGTATAAAATTAACAAAACTGTTTGGGTCTGAAGAAATGCACTTATCTTAAAATGAAGATCTGGATAACGTTGCAGCAGGGGTGGCTTGAGACCTGATGAGGGTGGCTTTCCCACAGGCGTTAGGGACTGTGAATTCCCAAACTGGGATAGCTGTTCATGGCAGCACTGTAGAAACTGAAACAAGGGCCACTGGAGTTGCCCATGGATGTATTGAGCACAGGTAAAATGTGAGTCATCTGTGAGGGGGGTGAGGCCCTGGCACAGGTTGCCCAGAGAAGCTGTGGCTGCCCCCTCCCTGGAAGGGTTCAAGGCCAGGTTGGACGGGGCTTTGGGCAACCTGGGCTAGTGGAAGGTGTCCACTCCATCTGGAAATGAGAAGACATTTCCAGAAGGTTACAGATTCTTGTAGGATGGATTTAGGAGCCTCTACAGCTAACAGGCACCTCAGCATCTCTGTGGGATTTTGTCCTCCGATTAATGACAAAGTGAGCATTTAGTTCAAAGCCAAAATAGGGCACTAGTGCCCTAGAGCCAAAGCAGCATAAAATACAGCATCCAGTGGCTCCTGGATTTCATGCAGCCCTTGAGAAATTACTTTCAAAGCCAGGGAAGAGTATTATTTTGGGAAAATGTTGAAAGTGGAGGATTTACATAACCCACATTGTACCACACTGCTGGTGACAATCCACCATAACCCCTCTGTGACGCTATGTGACATGAAGGGAACATCACAAAGTCCGGTGAACTTCATGGAGAGCTTCAAGCTTTCCTCTGCTTCCTGGTGAAGGATAAAGGAAGGAGGAATATAATAGCTGTATGGAGATATTTCACTGGTTTGATTTAAAGCACATCTCCTGCCACTTCCTCACCAAACCAAGCATCTAAGAACAAAAGCGTGACAACCAGCTGCCCCCCTTCTCTCCATTTGCAGAATCAAGCATGGAGTGGGTTTGATCCTGCTGGAGTCTATGTCAAAAGACCGTCAACTGAAGTACACAGTGGTACAGCTAAAATACTCGGATCTACACCGTGGGTCACTGCTGTACATTTATAATGGCAAAATCCAGTGCCACAGCAGTTTCACACCATCACTACTGCGTACAGTAAGTTGAGTTGTGGTCCTGCTGAGATCAGTATGGCAAGACTCCAGCTGGCTACTACAGGAGCAGGATCAGACTCACAATAAAAAAGCCCAACTGGTGTCAGGTTTCCTTTCCTAATTATACCAAACTGTGCTCTTTGCTGATCTATTTCATCCAGACGAGAGAAGATAATTATGCTGTGACCTTGTTTCCTGCTGAGCTATAGCAGAGCAACTAGTGAACAAAACCCAACTTGCCTCAGAATGGAAAAACAATTGACATGCATTTTTAATGGGTGTTTTTATTCACAATTAGGTATTTATGGCAGCCTGGGAGACAGAAATTGTAATATTTTCCAGCTTTTGAGGAGCTTCAGTTAAGGCAGTCTTTGTATAATGTGCTTTTAAAGCCATTCTACACCGAGCAAGTCTCATAATTTCTTACTTTTCATGAGCTCCTCTCTGCCGAGAGCAATGCCAGCTGGAGACTCAAAGGACAGGGTTTCAGCCTGCCTAGTTCCTGAAAGATGTGGAAAGGATATTGTTCTTCTCTTCTACTCCCGAACTCCCAAATCCTGGCCTCAAAATCTGCTGATCTTTCAGGAGCTAGTAGAGGCCAGATGTAGAGAGATGTGTGGGAGCTTAGTGCCTCTTCTTTCTCTCCAGACATGAGGACTTCAGTTGCCTCCTGAAAGCTTCCCAAGTGAAGAGGTTTGGCTGTTGTTTGGGGAACTGGTTAGCATTAACTTGCTGTGCAATTTCCTGTCACTTGTGAGAGGCAGTGAATAAGCTGGGGAAAGTAGGTGGCCCCACTTTTTCATATATTGTAGTGAAATTGGGATCTTTAGGATATAAAAGCATGGCAAGGTTTCAGCCAGACTGTGATTTAAAACTAATATCTCACCACCCAGTGTTTTAGCCTAGAGGAAGAGGTTTGAACCCATGTCCTTTACTAGGCTATTACACAGCTTTTCTGCTGGTGCCTTTTTTAACCTGTGTAAGACTTTTTTGCAATAATTTGAGGTGCAGAACCTCATCAGAATGAAAAAAGAGATTGTCCATCTTTACTTTCACTGATGAAACCAGTGTTTTGCTCACTGTGAGTGGGACAGGTGAGTGACAGAGTGCAACCATCAGAAATACTGATGAAGCCTGGGTGAGGGAGCAAACAAAAAGCTGGAGCTATATCCAGATCTATAAAGATCTCTTTTCTGTCTTCAGACCAAGTCCGAAACAGCTACTACATCGGCGCCGATGGCTCTCTCAGGCTGATGCTCGCTAACGGCATGGAGGTGGCCCTGCAGACTGAGCCACATCTGCTGGCTGGCACCGTCAACCCCACGGTGGGGAAGAGGAATGTCACCCTGCCCATCGACAACGGCCTCAATCTTGTGGAGTGGAGACAGAGGAAGGAGCAAGCAAGAGGGCAGGTCACCGTCTTTGGACGTCGGTTGAGGGTGAGTGAGCAGCATGAGAAGTTTTGGACTCCACTTGCCATCTCACCAGTCCCCAGTCTCACGACAGAAAACGGACAGGGCTGATTTGTATTGTCTGCAATAGGGATGAGGCTGCAGGACAGAGAACTAGCTGTTCACCCTCAGTGACACAACCTTTATGACTTGAATATATCCTTATGTCCCCTTATGTGCTGACGTTCTCTTAGCCATCACAGGTAGTATTGCTGATTTGCTTACAAGTCCTCTGCATCACTGGGAATGCGTGACCTCCCATCAGACACGGCAGGTTTAACCATCATGTCAGGCTGTTTAAGCAAGCAAGGGATGATCATAACTATAAAATACTGCACCAATTAGTGTGGGTATTTTCTACCTGTGCTGCTGGCAGTAATATACCTGAGCAATGAAAGCTTTCTAAGTATATGAGGACAGGCTGAGAGAGTTGGGGAGTTCAGCTGGAGAAGAGAAGGCTCCGGGGAGACCTTAGAGCGGCCTCCCAGGGCTGAAAGGGGCTGCAGGAACGGGGGGAGGGACTCGTCATCAGGGGGTGTAGGGATAGGATGAGGGGGAACAGGTTTAAACTGAAAGAGGGGAGATTTAGATGAGATCTAAGGCAGAAATTGTTCCCTGTGAGGGGGGTGAGGCCCTGGCACAGGCTGCCCAGAGAAGCTGTGGCTGCCCCCTTCCTGGAAGGGTTCAAGGCCAGGTTGGACAGTGCTTTGGGCAACCTGGGCTAGTGGAAGGTGGCCCTGCCCATGGCAGGGGGGTTGGAACTAGATGATGTTTGACGGTCCCTTCCAACCCAAACTGTTCTGTGATGCTATGATTATTAACTGGACAGCCTCAGAAAAATCTCAAGATTCCTGAAAGCTGCTAATCCACTGAAGCTGTTGAAGAGCTGGGCTCGCAGGGCATCGCATCACAATTGCCATTGTTCCCCGAAGTGAAGTGTTACAAACAGCTCCAGCCTGATGGTGCTGTCTCCTCCAGGAGCACGGTCCTTTCTGTGCTTGAGACTGACGTGTTTTGCAAACATTGTTCTGCACAACGCACCACAGACTTGTCAGGGCTGTTTAAAGATCATGCCCAATAAACCTGTAATTCCTCTGCTAACCGCTGGCAAGGCTGGTAACTTGTAATAGCGAGTCCTGTGCAATCACCCTGTTCCTTGCGAGTCTCAGAGTCGTGGGCTGATGAGTGGTTCCTGGGAAGCTGCTCAGCACCTGGCAAATTCAGACCTTCTGAGAAAAAAGCTTAGTGTTGTGTAATGCCACCACAGCAAAAGGACTGCAGCTATTTATTCGCACTTAAGCTTTGCAGTAAATATTAATGCTCTGGTTTAAGGATATGTGTTTCCCAGTCCTTGCTGTTTCACCTCTCCCTGTTCCCTGCTGTGTGACCCCTGCCACCTTGGTGTGATTCCTCCCGTCTCTCCTCACTCACACTTGTCAAGTATTGTTCTTCACCCTCCCCAACCCAGCCTCTGTTCTTTTCCCCTTGTGTCAATTCCCTCATATTTTGTTATCAGGAGAAAAACTGCAAACAGTAGTGAAAGCTGAAGCCGCTCCTTCACTGCAAACTGCAGTATGTCTGCAGATCAGTTGGCATCACCCTTCTTGTTTGGTTTGTCCTGGGGGTTTTATTTTATTTTGGTTTTAATAACCAATGAAAATATCAGACAGGTCCTTTTCTGAAAGGAGAGAGCCTTCTGAAATCTGCAGCTGTGTCACAGCTATTTGGTGTTCAAAGCAGTTTCCAATCATTTAGCCGCAGCTCAGCTGCTCGTGTCAGTTTTATCTTCCAAAATTTTAACAGTAGATTCAAACGCAGAACGTGTCTTTGTTTTATATTGTACTGCAGTTGGAAAAACACTTGCAAAATGAGTTTTCAGGCTGGTTACTTGTGTCCCTATAAATCTGCCAGCATTTATTCACATTTTGAGCCTATCAGGGCCCTTCTAGTGAAGCAGAAGAGAATCTTACATGGTGGAAGGACTCATTTATGGCTCTGTTCAGGGCTTCAAAGTAGCTGTGGGTGTACCAGACGCTTTAAGCTGTTTGTCTGTACCTGCATGGCAGCATCTGCACCCCTAAGACATAAACCTGCAAGGTGCTAATTGCCTCCCTGGGGATTGTCCGGCATTTAACATACTCTCTGTGTCATGTTCTCCTCTTCCCTCATACCAGTAATTGCTGCTTTCCCTGGCAAGGGAGAAGCTTAGGCAAGTTAAGTTCAAAATGGTTTTGTTCATTTTGGGAAATGTTATCATTTCTGCCATATGTGCGTAAATCACTACTTTCACTCTCCCCACTGCTTGCATGAGACAGCAGCAAAGACACGGTGCTCCATGAGGAAAGATCATGCCCAGACAGGCTGCAGCATCGCTCCAAGAAGCCTTTGAGAATGAGGAGAACAGGATCTGGCCACTGTAAAAGAGGGAGTTCCCCTGAAACCAGCATCCTTCCTGCTGCCATCGCGTGCATCCACATTTTATGACTTGTGGCCCTTTGTCCCATGGTTGCCATGTTGCCATGAGCTCAACCAGCTCCCAGGACAAGGAGGCCAGTTTCAGAGCTGCCTCTTTGACCCTCCCCAGGAAAGAATGAAATGCATATGTTTACTGCAGGGATAAGGCACAGGGCAGGGACTTCTGCATGGATGAAGGGAAAGGGGCCAGCTCTGATGCCTTTTTCCCAGTCCCACCAACGCTGACCTGGCTCTGCACTTGGCCAGGCAGCAGGAAAGCAGCAGTAATATGTTAAAGCAGCCCCTTTCCCATCTCCTGTTCCACACACCCCATGAAAAGTTTCGATGCTCTGATCCACCCACCCAGCACTGAAACAGCTCCACAAATCGGCTGGCTACAAATTCAACCCATCATTGGCCTACAGCAATACAGAATCCATCTGCAGTGAGAGCGTTAGGTAAACTCTGCTCCAAGGAACAGAGAGCTCCTTCTTTGCGTTTGCCTTTTTTTTTTTTTAAACAAACTTGAGTTTTTAAATAAAGGACGTAAAATAATCTCTGACAGTGGAGCAAATAGAAACAGCCAAAAGAGACAGAGCTGCTGGCTCAGCTCTTTTATTTATTTAACCATGGAAACTCCCATTGTAACTCACTTTGTTTTTCCCAAGACCTTGGCAGCAGGTTAATGGTGACATCAAGACCTAGTATCCCAGACGGTCCCCAGAACCAACAGGACCAGAGAGGTCTCTTGTGATATGCTGCTAACCATTCCTGGTGTGTTGAGGACAGTCCAGCATCGTCTGCAATTTCTGTAAGGTGTCGAGCTCTGGATATGGCCACCGCAATGATTTTAGCAATTTGCTGGGGAAATTGCTTTGTAGGCAGCCATTTATCACATGGATATTGTTGGCTCCCGGAGTTCTCATTGCAGAAGTATTGTTTGCCCTCCTCTGCTGAAGGTTGTCAGAGGGTGTTCATGAGACATCTTCCCTTTTTGTGCTCTTGTGCTCCCGGGGAGATCAATGCATGTTGTTTAATTATAATTTAAGGTAAAGGAGCTCCGTAGGAAGCACTGGAGAAATCAGAGATGGTGGCGTGTTTATTCTCATGCTTTTCCAGAGCAGGTTAAGGGATTGAATAAGGTAATGTGGAACATGAGGTCGGGGTTAAATTTAGTCTCTCACACATTATGGAGGGGACATCACTGTGAACTGTGGGTTTAAACTTACCCTGTCTCAATCCTGTGCTCATCACAAGCCTTGTCAAATGCTCTGAGGGGCAAAAGCTTTTTGCAGGAGCTTTTCAGACCCTGTTCCAGGACAAGGACTCCAGGATGTAGGATGTCACCTTATTTAGATGCTCACCATAAAACACGGTTATTGGAATGAAGCCTGCAGCCCTGTCAGTTCTTCCGCAGAAAATTCACTTCTATTCAAGGCATGCCCTTGAACAAGGATCAAAAAGATTTAGGCCCTGTTCAGAGGCTACCTGGCAGTGTAGGGTTCATTTTGCCCGTCACCTTGAGGAGTGGCTGTTGGCACTGCCACACTTCTCACAGAGGAGACAATTACACCGAGAGAGCACGAGAAAACAAATCATTAAAAAAAAAATAAAATCATGAAAAGGGAGAATGGTTCCAACTAGTCCCACAGAAATTGCTTGCCAGAGCATGAGGAGAGTGGAATGACTTAGGGCACCAGTTATGGGATACAGAGATTTGGAGTGAGCTTAAGAGCTATCTCGGGACCTGTTATTTGGTCCTTCCAGCACAGTGAACTGCACTGCTGCTGGTGTAGGGATCGGGGAGGCCACTTTGAGCCTGGATCACTGTCCCAGCCCTGGAAGGGCTCTTTCCAGCTCTCTTGGCAGAGTCCAGTAGCAGAAGAAGCTGCAGCTGCCAGGCTGGAGCAGCTCTGTGAATAGATGGAAAGCAGAGATACTATTCCTTCCTTCTTTGCTTTTTTTTTTTTTTTTTATTATTTTTGCAAGCAATCGCTACTTCTGTTTCTCTATTTATAGCAGCAAGCACCTATGAGATACCAAATTGCTCTGTTAGTTACATGTGTACATCTGTACTTAGAGGTTTGATACCTTTTTAGTTATTTCCCAGCTTGACTGTTGCAGTGAGCTGTTGGCTGATTCCCTCTTTCTCCCACTGCCCATTTACATTCTATTTCACACACATTCAATTGGAGCATTATCTACCTTGCCACATCATCTCCCCATTTACATCATGGCACCAATTCCTTCTCTCTCAGCTAGCTGGCTGTGCACATCCTCAGCTCACTTGCAGGTTTTCTCAGCTGTTCTTTTGTCTCTTCCAACCCCAGCTCCTAATATGCTTTCTTTTGAATTCAAATTTTGCAGTGTCCCCATTCTCCAGGTTTCAGCACAGACTCCTGCCTAGGCAGCACAAAAGCACCGCAGTTGTCCTGCCCTTCCCTCTCCTGTCCCTCCAGTCCCTTCTCCATTGGCTCTATCACATCCTTTCTCCTGTTGTTTAGCTCTCAGATACTCCCACATCCCTCAAAAATATAGTGGAAATTCAATCACACATCCTAAAGTAATGGTCACGATCAAAGCTGGACCAGGGCTGAGAACATTGCTTAGGTCAGGAGTGTCAGCTTTACTCAGAGAAAGAAAAGGCTTTACCTGGGCAAGGAAAAGGAACTTGCAGTAACCTGCAAACCCTGGTTTATTGACTGCAGCTGAAGAGATGCAAAGGGAACTGAAAATCAAGTCAGCTGTCTGGAGTTTGAAATTCATCCGAGAAGAATCTGCACCTTTCTAGGAAAGAGGGGTTCACCAGCTGAAAGAGGTTCAGAACTGGTGGGATGGGGAAAGAGCTGATTTCACTGGCGAGCTCATACTGGGAATGTGGGGAGGTTTTGTCCTTGCTGAGTACTTTGCTACTGTGACGATGTGGCTCTGTAAGTCTCCTTGCACACGCAGCTAAACATGAGTTGTATTATCAGCTCCTTTTTGTATTGCTGTGCACTACAATCCTTGCATCAAAATGTATTTCTGCTCCTACCTTTGAAGTAGATACCTTTGATCTTTGGAAATGCAGAGGCAGTGAAGGTAGCAGGGGTGTAATTATGCAACACCGAATAACCCCAGGACAATGAAGTTAAAATTCCAGCTCCCACAGAAAAGTTCCTGCTCTGTGTAACATCTACAGTGGTCAGGGCCTCCATATCTCAGGGGAAAGGATTAACCTCCAGTATATTCAATAAACTCAGAGAAAAACTCTTTTTTTTCCACCATGTTGACACAACATCCATCTTTCTTTTGACAAGTATTATATTTTGATGTGTGTGGAAGCAAATGTCTATATATCCCAGGTTTGATAAGCAGAGTACCTTGCAAATATTCCTTGCAGCAAGTTGTCATTACATCTTCCATAGATCTGTAATCATATATCTGCTGTATCAGTCCTAAGCCTAGGTTTGGGATATGGGCGATATTCCTTTACCATGGTGGTGTTTCAAAAGTACCCTCTTTTTCTGCCTCTCTCCTCACTGAAGTCAACAGAAACAACGTTAAGACAAATCTTTGTTGTCAAAACTGCCTCTTACCGTGGCAGTGAACAGCTGGATGTTCTCCAGTGTGACCTAAAGAGGTGTTTGGTGGAACAGTCTTTGTAACTTAACGCTGTTTCCAGCTTCCTAACCCTCCATCTCTTTCCTGTAGGTTCACAACAGAAACCTGCTGTCCCTCGACTTTGATCGTGTGACAAGGACGGAAAAAATCTATGATGACCACCGCAAGTTCACGCTCCGCATCCTCTATGACCAGGCAGGGAGGCCCAGTCTCTGGTCACCCAGCAGCAGACTGAACGGGGTCAATGTCACCTATTCCCCAGGAGGACACATTGCAGGGATTCAGAGGGGCACAATGTCAGAAAGGATGGAGTATGATCAGTCTGGCAGAATTACATCCAGGATCTTTGCTGATGGCAAGTCATGGAGCTACACTTACTTGGAGAAGGTAAGAATCCTCTTGTTGCTCAGAGATGGTGCATTTGGGGCAAATGGCCTTTACTCCTTTGACTTCAGTAGAGCTGCACTCCTCCACATCAGCTGATTTATGTTCCTTATGGTTCATTACTCCTATTCTACCTACACTAAGGTGCACATAGTAATTTTGGTGCCAGACCACCAAAGAGCAGTCAAAAAAAGCATAGGAAGTTTCTTCCCAGTCACACTGAGGGCATGTCTTAATGCTATGAAGCTTTGACATTTGATTTTTTAAGCACAACACTCCTTTGCTGAGCTAACTGCAATATAAAATATCTTCAATCAGTGCAGTGAACAGTAGGAATTCCCAGTAGGATTTTCCATGTGGAAACAACCCATACAGTCTGACATCCTGCCTCCTTCAAGTGGCCCATTCCTGCTTCATGGAAAATCCACGTAATTAAAATTTTGAGGCTTGAATCCAGACAGACTGTTGTAGCACACTTTGCAGTGTTTTCTGTAGTCTGCACTCCATAGATTGACATGGGACTTAAATTCTTCTGGATATCACCGTTCATCCTTACACTATCCAGTGTCCTATAGAACCATATGCTGCGTACCTGGGGCTGGAATTTTTTATTCCTGAGTTTTGTATAGAGCCTATCCCTACAACAGGTTAAGGTAATGACAATAACATGCCTTTTAAAAAGCAAAAAGTATGACTTGCTCCTTGCATTATACAATATGTGTGGATTGTTTGTTACATGCAAAAAATATCGCAGAACAAATAAGCATGTGGGCAGAAGTTTACAGTAAGAGAGTAACAGAAGATAGAGAGACACAATTAATTGGGCATTGGACAGTGTCAGGGGATACTTTTTCAAGCATGGTTTAAGTAGCTCTATCAATTTTATTTATTTAGTCTGTAAAAGCTGTTGGCACGGGGAATTTGAGTAAAGAGAGCTAGCTATAAGGTATTGATTCAAACAACTGAGCATTCTAAACTTAGACCTTCCTCACTGCATTAACTGCTTCTTCCTCTGACCCAGTCCTACTTGGGGATACTCCATGTGCCGTGCAGCTGCATACCTCTCACCATTTAATCCTATGGGTGGAGAGGTTTAGCTCACTTGCCCTGCTCTTTGGATTGGAGAATATTGCAGGTTTTGTGAGAGTTGAGTGTAATTTTGCCTGAAAACCAGGACTATAATTTCTATTTTTCTCCTTCCCATCCAGTCCATGGTGCTGCTCCTTCACAGCCAAAGACAGTACATCTTTGAGTTTGATAAGAACGACCGGTTGTCGTCGGTGACCATGCCCAACGTTGCCCGTCAGACTTTAGAGACCATTCGTTCCATTGGTTACTACAGAAACATCTACCGGCCACCAGAAGGCAATGCCTCAGTAATTCAGGATTTCACAGAGGATGAGCAGCTCCTCAACACTCTGTACTTGGGCACAGGGAGACGTGTCATCTACAAGTATGGAAAGCTGTCCAAGTTAGCTGAGATGCTCTACGACACCACAAAGATCAGTTTCACTTATGACGAAACTGCTGGCATGCTGAAGACCATAAACTTGCAGAATGAAGGGTTCACGTGCACCATCAGATACAGACAGATAGGACCCCTCATTGATCGCCAGATTTTCCGCTTCACTGAAGAAGGCATGGTGAATGCACGCTTTGACTATAATTATGACAACAGCTTTCGGGTGACTAGCATGCAAGCAGTCATCAATGAGACACCTTTACCCATTGATCTCTACAGGTACGATGATGTGTCAGGCAAAACTGAGCAATTTGGTAAATTTGGAGTCATTTACTACGATATCAACCAGATTATCACCACTGCTGTCATGACTCACACTAAACATTTTGATGCCTATGGCAGGATGAAGGAGGTCCAGTATGAGATATTCCGCTCTCTCATGTACTGGATGACTGTGCAGTACGACAACATGGGGAGAGTAGTTAAGAAAGAGCTGAAGGTTGGCCCTTATGCAAACACAACTAGGTACTCATACGAATATGATGCTGACGGCCAGTTGCAGACAGTGTCTATCAATGACAAACCCCTCTGGCGTTACAGCTATGACCTAAATGGGAACCTCCATTTGCTGAGTCCGGGGAATAGTGCCCGCCTTACACCGCTCAGATACGACCTCAGGGACAGGATTACTAGACTGGGGGATGTGCAGTACAAAATGGATGAAGATGGCTTCCTGAAGCAAAGGGGCAATGATATTTTTGAGTACAATTCAGCTGGCCTGCTCATCAAAGCTTACAATAAAGCTAGTGGGTGGAGCGTGAAATACCGCTATGATGGCCTAGGAAGGAGAGTCTCTAGCAAAACCAGCCATGGCCATCACTTGCAGTTCTTCTACGCAGACCTGACCAACCCAACCAAGGTCACCCATTTATACAACCACTCGAGCTCCGAGATCACCTCCCTCTACTATGACCTCCAAGGCCACCTCTTTGCAATGGAGCTCAGCAGCGGTGATGAATTCTACATAGCCTGCGATAACATTGGCACTCCTTTGGCTGTCTTCAGTGGAACTGGCTTAATGATTAAGCAGATACTGTACACAGCATATGGGGAGATCTATATGGACACCAATCCCAACTTCCAGATCATCATTGGCTACCATGGAGGACTGTATGACCCCCTCACAAAGCTTATCCATATGGGACGGAGAGACTATGATGTGCTAGCGGGTCGGTGGACGAGTCCAGACCATGATATGTGGAAGCACCTGAGTAGCAATAACATAATGCCTTTCAACCTGTATATGTTCAAAAACAACAATCCCATTAGCAACTCTCAGGATATCAAATGTTACATGACAGGTAAGACATTTAAATTAATTAACGGATTCACAAGCTTGCCATCAGTGAATAGGTTTCCTCTCTCTCGGTATCCTGGTCACCATGAGGTTTTCCAGGGTTTAATATAATGGACACAACCTTTTCTTTGCCAATTGACCCCTCTGTCCAGGGCATGTTTAATTCATTAGCATAGATGGAAATTATAATTCCCAAACCTGTTTCCTTTTCTCTGCCTTGGTGTTTGTTCTCTTTATTTTTCTTCGTTTGTCATTCCCGCAGATATCCCAAATATAGCTACCAATTAACATCCTCATAACCTTTCTCTTCATAGAGGGGCAGCTGTTTACCCAGTTTTGCCTAGAGATTTATTTGCAACTCAACAAATGGCATGCAAATTTGTTTTAGCAGAATAGCAACAGCAACTTAAACCTTTTATTACAGTCAGCCGTTTCAGAGCACAGGCCAAAGCCCAACTAGAACTTAATCTGGCTACTGCCATAAAAGACAATAAAAAATGTTTCTATAAATACATTAGCAACAAAAAGAGGGCTAAGAAGAATCTCTATCCTTTCTCGGATTCAGGGGGAAACATAGTGACAAAGGATGAGGAAAAGGCTGAGGTAATTTATGCCTTCTTTGCCTTGGTCTTTAAAAGTAAGACCAGTTCTTCTCTGGGTACCCAGCCCCCGGAGCTGGAAGACAGTGACAGGGAGTGGAATGAAGCCCCATAATCCAAGGGGAAATGGTTAGTGACCTGCTACAGCACTTAGACACACACAAGACTATGGGGCCAGAGGGGATCCACCCAAGGATATTGAGGGAGCTGGCAGAAGTGCTCACCAAGCCACTCTCAACCATTTATCAGCAGCTAACCAGGGAGGTCCCAGTTGACTGCAGGTTAGCAAATGTGATACCCATCTACAAGAAGGTCTGGAAGAAGGATGTGGGGAGCTACAGGCCTGTCAGTCTGACCCCGATGCCAGGGGAGGTTATGGAGCAGATCATCTTGAGTGCCATCACACAGCACATACAGGACAACAAGGTGATCAGGCCCAGCCATCACAGGCTTATGAAAGGAGGGTCCTGCTTGACAAACCTGATCTCCTTCTATGACAAGGTGACCCATTTAGTGGATGAGGGCAAGGCTGTAAATGTTGTCTACCTAGACATTAGTAAAGTCTTTGCACCATTTCCCACAGCATTCTGCAGAAACTGGCTGCTCACGGCTTGGACAGGTGTACTCTTTCGCTGAGTTAAAAACTGGCTGGATGGCCAGGCCCAAAGAGTTGTGGTAAATGGAGTTAAATCCAGCTGGTGGCTGGTCACACATGATGTTCCCCAGAGCTCAATATTGGGGCCAGTTCTGTTCAATATCTTCATCAATGATCTGGGCAAGGGGACCGAGTGCTCCCTCAGTAAGTTTGCTGACAACACCATGTGAGGTGGGAGTGTTGATCTCCTTGAGGGCAGAAAGGGTCTACAGAGGGATCTGGACAGGCTGGATCAATGAGCTGAGACAAATTTTATGAGGTACAACAAATCTCAGTGCCAGGTCCTGCACTTGGATCATAACAACCCCATGCCATGCTATGGGCTTGGGGAAAAGCAACTGGAAAGCTGCCTGATGGAAAAGGACCTGGGGGTGTTGGTCAGCAGTCACCTGAACAGGAGCCAGCAGTGTGCCCAGGGGGCCAAGAAGGCCAATGGCATCCTGGCTTGTGCCAGCACTGGCGTGGCCAGCAGGGACAGGGAAGGGATCTGAGCCCTGGGCTCAGCACTGGTGAGGCCGCACCTCGATTCCTGGGTTCAATTTTGGGCCCCTCACTACAAAAAGGACATTGAAGTGCTGGAGTGTGTCCAAAGAAAGGCAACAAGGCTGGTGAAAGGTCTGGAGCTCAAGTCTTACAAGAAGCTACAACTGAGGTTGTTTAGTCTGGAGAAAAGGAGGCTGAGAGGAGACCTTATCACTCTCTACAGCTACCTGAAAGGAGGTTGGAGTGAGGTGGAGGTTGGTCTCTTCTCCCAAGTAGCAAGCGATAGGACAAGAGGAAATGGTCTCAAGTTGTGCCAGGGGAGGTTTAGATTGGATATCAGGAAAAATTCCTTCCCCAACAGGGTGTTCAAGCACTGGATCAGGCTGCCCAGGGAAGGGGTTGAGTCCCCATCCCTGGAGGTATTTAGATGTGGTGCTTAGGGACATGGGTTAGTGGTGAACGTGGCAGTCTTAGGTTAAAGGTTGGGCTTGATGATCTTAAAGGTCTCTTCCCACCTGAATGATTCTATGATTCTACACTAATCATGTAGTTAAAAGTTAATCTGCCCCACAGAATTAACAATTCCTACTAAGAGTCAATAAAAGCAGGTGCATTAGACTTGAAGGCCAGATTTTAGGACATACCTACCTCACAGCTTGACATAACCTCTGAACTACTTCCCCCAGACTTTGTAAAACGGCAGTAATGTGAGCTCTATGTTTTTTTTATACAGAAAATCATTCTGCAGGTTAAATGTCCTTCCCATGTTCATACTTTATTCAACGCTGCTAGTAATGTTCAAGAGGACTGTTTCGGTAGGACTCTTTTCTATATACGTCCCATTGGAAAAGCAGGTGACACAATCAGAAATCTCCTTCTTAAGGAGATAGAATTAATTATTAAATGTTCCTGCTGCGTCTATCACAACTTTCCCATATGAGCAATATTTGGGATGAGATTGGTTTAATAGCAAAAAACTGTTACAAAATAAAAATCCTGGGTTGTTCTATTCCACTTGTTTTTCTCGCCATTAGGATTCATGCTTTCTGGTTCTTCTGCAATAATCATAAGTATTAGATTGTTGGGTTTTTTTTTTTTTTAATGAAAAGCTGTTTTCTCCAGAGCTGAGAAGATGATGCCATGAGAGAAGTAAAATATGCCAAAAGATGCAGACTAAGATCCTGTGTGTTGGCCTCTCTCTGATAATTAAGGCTGGCAGGGAATACTTTGAGATAACTTTTCCCATCAGAAAATGCTCATTTGTCAAAACTGAATTTGTTTATGGGAGAGGGTAGAGCTTGAGAGATTTCTCAGCAGAAATGTTGTAAACAGCTCTCAAAATTGTTGAAATGACAAATTCAAAACTAGCCTAAAATGAAAAACTCCTTTTTGGTTTTCAGCCTTTTCAAGTTAAGTGTAAACTAATGATTGAAAACAGGAAAAGAAAATTAAGAAGTAAAAACCAGAATGGAAGATCATAATTTGAAAATGTTGTCTTGAACTGCTCTGGTTTTTGAACAGTTGCTTTGTGATTTATGAACAGATTTTTATTTTCCTGCTCAAGTTAAGACAGGACAAAATTTCCAATCCTGTCTTGGAACAGGCAAACCAGTTTCCCCCCCAGCTCTGACGATAACATCAAGATGTCCAAATCTGATACTTTAATGTTTTATATGCACCAAATAGCTTTTTCCACTGTCTTAAAAGTTCTATTTTCAGTCCTTCAAGAAGGACCAAATACATTTTTTAAGTTTCTCCCCTCCCAGTGCATGGAAGAAACAGGTCATGTAATGGGATGAGTGCTGTGATGCAAGGCTGCCGCTCTGGCATTTCTGTCTGCTGAAGCTTTCAGACATATCATGGACAGGTCCCATGATGAGTGTGTCCTTGTCATCACAAACGAATCTGCCCAGATTTGGGCACAGGGAACCACTTTCTCTCCCTTCATCCCCACCCTGGGACCACCTGTCCTGAGGGGAGCTCAGGCCACGGGCAAACACCACACGCTTTGGCTTCCCAGCGATGAGGTTTCAGAGCTCGTGGGTACAAATTGGAGGCATGTGGAGGGGAGAGCAGGGGAAACAGGTATTTACGTTTTGAGAGGCCCATTGTTAAACATGAATATTTTAGAGATTGTACACTTCATGGCGCAGTGCTTTGCTGCCAGCTTCAGCAATCCTGATGGATTGAACTGACATTTCCATTACATGTGTCTGCATTAAGCACTCTTTTTCTTTGCCCTCAAATGAATTTACTGTGAAATGTGTTGGCAGGGTTACTGTAGCTGAAAAAAACTCTGTGATGTGAAATGTACTTTTCTGTCAAAAAAGTTGTCACTGCCGCTTGGCAAATTAATATTTTCCCCTCTGTTTTCTCAGCTCCACACCTTCCTCCTATGGTTTTTTTGGGTGTTTTTTGTTTTCTTTTCTTTTCTTTTTTTTTTTTTTTTTTTTTTTTTTTTTTTTTTTTTTTTTTTTTTTTTTTTTTTTTTGTTCTGGGTATTCCAACACCTCTTCCCAAAATCTTCCCAAAAAGAACAAACTCCTGTTTGCAAATGTTTTGAAAGTCAGTTTTCTGAGAAGTAGCAAAAAAAAGCCTGTCTTGAATCTTTCCAGACATGTTACATATTTTTCTGCTGTTCAGCATCCCTGCTCTGTATCCTTTTCAACATTTGTGAAGTGCTGGAAAATGGTTCCTGCACCGATGCTGACCTTCACTGTTTTACTTTGTTCTCTTGACCACCTGGCCCACAATATGTACATCAAAGGTCTTCATTTCACATGAGAAGGATTTGGAAGCAGGCTGGCTTAGCGCTAAGCAAAAAAAAAAAAATCAAATGAGCCTTTTAATTTCTCTCCCTCCCTCCAATCTCTCTGTTTCAAAGACACTCCAAAAACAATCTGTACATTGAGTGAACAGAAGTGTTTTTATTACAGAAATCCTCCCCCTTCCACATGGATTGTCGAAAGGGCTTTTTGGACATCTGCCCAATCTCAACATTTTGGCCTGTAAGAAAACAAGCAACAGATAGTGTGTTTGTTTGGCTCCTGGTTCTCCAGTCATCTGGAAGTGCCTTATTTGCCGCTTGCATCCATAATTTCTTTTCCGACCAGCTCTTCAAAACACTCATTTAGGCTCATGGGGAATAGAGAAAAAAATATTCAAAGATGCATATTTGATTATTTAAATTGATCCCTTTTTCAGATTGTTTCAACAACATTTATTGAGTTTAGCAAAATGAAAATCAAGCCCCTTACACATCCAGCTTGGAAGCAGAGCAATCACCAACACAATCCCAGTCATATCCAAAACACTTAAGACCTCTGGGAGCTGATATTAGTTAAACTTTACCTTCATACCTTTCTTTTTCTTGTAATTGCTATTTGCATGCCAAATGCACACGATATTGCTCGGGGACTGTAGCAGGTGTGTCCTTCTCTAGAGTTCAGTAAACGCAAACAAGGTGAGATCATCAAATGCTCTGAAGTTAAGGGGGGAAGCGATGCTGATCCCAAGCAGATCTAGAAGTTAGACAGCCTCATCATTATTTCCTCCAGCAGATTAACATTCAGCTGCTATTCCTAATAGCTGTGCAATCAAAAATCAGGGAAGACTTTGGAGTCTGTACTGTCAAGTGAATACATGAATGATGTTTGGACTAGATGACCTTTAAAGGTCCCTTCCAACCCAAACCATTCTATGATTCTGTGATGTCCCAAATGCCTGGGTTTTCCATCATGTCCACTTTACTGCCAGTGGTCCTCCTTTTGCATAGGACAATAGTTTATCATTTGTAGCCAGCAGTTTTCTCATGATTCGTGGACTTCTAAGAGGTTTGTGAAAAGTACCCAGGCAGCGTTGTCTTGTATCTGTATGTTTATTTTCACTATAATGTGCCTTGCAGGTAGTGTGGAGGCCGATTTTAAAGCTCACTATAAAAGATGACATGTGACTTTACACTGGTTTAATATTCAAACTACACCTTCTTATGAAAAATGCCCAGAAACTTGGGACTGAGGTCGAAATGCCATGGAAAAAGCCAAAGATATGTCTAGAGCCTCTTCCATGAGCACCTGCTAAATGACCATGCTGTTCATCCTGGGATGTCCTGGTATTCTGGCTCACATAACTCTAAATTTAGTCTTCAGCCTGCAGGCCCTTTGAGAATCCTCAGAAAGAGAAGTATTGTGGCTGAGATGTTCAGAGCTGACTGTAGGACTGGACAACCCTTCTGATCCAGCTGGAGCAGCTCAGCCTCAGCCATTAGTGTGTTGTTGCTCCTGTGCTTCTCCTGTATATCTTAAGGCAGTGCCTGGTTCCTGCTGATGAAGGGCAGGCATGGAGTTGGCTTTAATTTGGACCGTTTGGTCATTGCCAACGCTTTTGTTTCAGAGCTGGAAAAGTGCAGAATTGGGCTGTGGTTAGAGGTGCAAAGCCCAGCTGTGGCACACGGTTGTTTCAAAGACCATCAAGATTTGTGCTTTTCACATAAAATAGACATATCATTTTGGCCAGACTGCTGCATTGCCAGGCACCACAGAGTCCTCCTGTGTGCCTTCTCCTGGGAAATCCTGCTTGAGTGATCAGATAATCTGACTGACGATTCTCTTCCCTTCCAGATGTCAACAGTTGGCTTCTCACCTTCGGGTTCCAGCTACACAACGTCATCCCCGGCTACCCCAAGCCAGACATGGATGCAATGGAGCCGTCCTATGAGCTAATCCACACACAGATGAAAACCCAAGAATGGGACAATAGCAAGGTGATCCATACAACTCCATACTGTATCTCACACCCTGATCAGCAAACTATCCAGTTTATTAAAAAAAAACTCTGTCAGCATGTTCTCCCAGATACTAGTGGGGGAGTGAGGGCAAGTCAGTCCCCATTACAGTAATGAAATCTGACTGAATAATCACATCTTAAGTTCCTTACTGCCACAGTGCTCTTTCCTGGGATATTTTCTGGTGGTTGCTCAATGAAATGGTGTGTTACTGTTTCTTTCTCCCACAGGATGCCATGTTATCCCCTATTGCAGGCTAAGTTCAAGGTCTTTGCATCAAGGATTCTTGGAAGTGAAAAAAAGCAAATCTTGATACAGAACCAGTTTCTACAGAGTTTTTTCTAGAAAGTTATCCAGTCTAGTTTAAAAAGTCTTAAACAAGTCCCAAAACTTCCCTAGGAAACTGTTCTGCATTGCAGTGGGTCTCACGAGAAAGAAGTTTTAGACGATAGTTAACTTTTGTTCTACCTGACTGGGTTCAATCCCAAGTCACCGTGTCCTTTTAAATACAGGCCTACATCACAAGCCATTTTGGTAGATGCTGGCACAAAATTCAATGATGAAATTGGCAAGAAAAAAGCTTTTACAGCCCAATCATTTCCCCCTCTCATCCTGTGGGGAATTTTTCAGCTGAAAGATGGAGGCAGCACTGTTAAAGGTTAGCACAATAGGTCAGGATCCGAGAGCCCTGGGTTACTCCCAGCCCTACTGCTTCTTGGTTGTATGACCTTGGAAAAGTCATTTACCTCTCAGGATACTCTTTCATCTCCTAGCCTGATTTTATTCTGGAGTTGCTTTCATCTGTTTAGTCTGAATCCTCTTTATTCTGAATTCCTGCTTGCTATTGCTGCGTAGTCAAACATGGCAAGAGCAGTGAGGCACCAATGTGCTTGGGGAGATTAGGATATGCTCTTAACATTTCTGCTAATAAAATGATAACAGGAGGAAGTGGAATTGATTCCAGCTGCCCTCCTAGCCTCTTTATCTATGAGTTCACTGAAATCTCTCTGTCCTGCAGCAGATTCTTGAGGTCCTGTACACATATTAACCCAGGAGGTAAAATACAGTGTCACGTTTCCCGAACCACAAAAGGTATCGCTCAGAAGTATGAACAAGATACTGTGCATTAATAAAATAGTCATGTGTCAGCCCATCCTTCGTACTCAGCTTCGTAGCTATGGCGAAGACAAGCTAAAATGTACCAACTTCAACTTCAATAAGAGATTTATATTAAGATGTATCACTTTATAGTAGAGGGGGACCAAAAGCGTTATGTTTTTCTCTACCATGGCTGAGTTGATGCTTGAAAACCATTATGCCATAGTAACTCAGTTGTGTTTTTGAGCTCAGAGACTCCTTTTTTTGTTACTCACTTCTTGGATTAAACAATAAAATGCTAATAGAGATGATTTCTGTAATGAGAAATAGCCCCAGGATTTTTCCTCCTCTCTGATGTGACACAGTCTCCCCAGGCAAAGCTGTAGAGCAGAAGGCAAACAGGGAAGGCTTATTCAGAGGCTGCACAAAAGATTGTCTCTGAAGTGTTATGTGCAGTAGATAACTCTCACAGAACTGCAGTAGAAAGTATTATTATTGGTGGTATTATTATTATATCATTATTTTATCATTAGTTCATTATTATTATTATTATTAGACTTATTGAATAGCCAACTAACTTGAGTGACGGCTTGAGATGAAGACTGACATTTGCTCATACAGGCATCTGAGCTGGAAATAAAACCAAGGAGCTCTCCCTTCCATCCACCCATTTTAGGTGAATGTGCCTGAATGAGCAATAAGAATAAAAGAAAATCTCCATGTCCTCTTCAGGTTTTTAAAGCAAGAAGCTGCCGTGAGGACTGTGCAGGGACCTGCTTGGTAAAAGAGGGCTTTATGCAGCCATCGTGCTGCCAGATGAGTCACTTTACACTCAAGTGTTGAAAGTGGAATTTAACCACTGCAGGCTGTTTCATATTCTTCCCCTGTGTTATGACAGCAACAAAACATGAGCATTTTTATTTTAGTCTACAGTTGCAGGATCATGCTGTGATAGCGAGTGGCTCTCAAATGCTACAGAGCAGGATTCCCTTCTTTTTTGTCACACCCAGCATATTGTAGGCATATATTTTCATAAAATAGATTCATTCACATATGATACCTGAACACAGGATCTGTTTTCTCCTAAGCCTATCCCATGCATCCAACACTGTAGTTCTGTTTACTCCCAACCCTCCCAGCCACACATACACGCTCCCAGACAGAATCCAGCCCTCCTTCCTCCTGGTTGTCTCTGTATTTATTGATGAAGCATGTGGAAGAAAGTATAAACTTTTGAAAATTTCACCTAGCAAATGACAAAATTAAACAAAGTTAAATGGAAGCACAGGAAATATTTTCAAATAATAAGACTGATCAAACTGTGAAATGCTCTCCCAGAGCATGTGGAGTAAGCTCCAGGACTTTTGTTATTTAAAAGTAGCCTGGACGATGCACTGGGTGATGCCCATCCTGTTTGCAGTCCAGGGACATTCCCTGAGTGATGTACCACAGATGTCTCATCTCCCTGTCTCCCGATCCCTGGTTTCTCTGGGTCACGTACCTCCTTTTGAGAGACCAAAGTAATTTTGAGGTAGTCCACTGGCTTTGATGATCAAAGCTGTTGCCCAGCAGATTGAGTCAGTTCTTTTATAAGAGAAGAATGAATAACAGGAACACAAGAGCAAAGCAACTAACTCCACATAAATGGTTGCTTCGTGCCTCTTTGGAGTGCATAACCGGAGGGCCCTAGCATCTCCTTCCAAAACATTGTTGGTACTTGCCTTACAGGGCTGGAAGATGGGAGAGATAACTCTGACGTTGAGCATCCACCAGCTCAGAAACAGCCAGCATGTCATAAACCTCGCACTAACCCCCTGCAGCTCTGGAGTGACATTTAAAATCCAATACTCCATTGTGCAGCACTTCCCCGCCAGAGAGAAGCTGTTAGCCGGGAATTCTCTTGCTGGTTGTAACCGCTGCCCGGAACGCTATGCAGGGCAACAGCGATTCTCGTCCTCCGTGCTTGCTTTTTCTCAGAATGGGGCTTGGTGAGCGTTTTCGGCCGAAAACG